TGAAGGATATCATTTTTTCAATTACTTTAATAAGACCTAGGGAATTCGGCAAGTAGCAAAATGACCGGGTGTTAAATCGATATATATATATATATATATATATATATATATATATATATGCGTTACATATATCCTGTATTTATGCAAATGTATACACATATATGTGCATGCTAATGCATGCCAAACACACCTCCCACCACTGTTATATGATCATCCTTAGAACCAGACACAGGTAATAAGCAACCACTATAGCTACTAGCACAGTTCAGTTCACAGCAAACTATTCGAATTTTGACAGTGTATAATATCAGAAAAACTGTGTATGGTGTAATAATGTGTTTTTTCTTCTTCTTCATACGTCTGTATCTATCTGTCTAGCCGTAGTAGTAGTAATAGTAACAGTATTACATATTCCAACATAGTTCAATTATAACTGCATAACTGTTGGCAACACCATATGTTGCATGCATGCATGCATGTAAGTATCCAGAGTGAGAGGCAGATAGAGAGGGAGAGGGAGAGACAGATAGTGAATGAAGGTGAACAGAAGTGTAGATGATATCGATTTAATCAAGTCAATCATCATCTAACTAGTGTCTAGATTTTTATGCGTTATTGTAATTTCAATCAATTTTTTTGTGCTTGTTACAACATTTCACTTGAAATTTTTAGGTAATGTGATGAGAGAAAAAGAAGAAGAAGAGGAGGAATACATCCTAGTGTCTATTTTTTCTTTTCGTCTAGATGCCAAATGATTGAATTATCATTATTACTGTTATATCTTTTACACGAATTCTGGTTTAGGGAGTACTGGACAGTTGTTTCGTCCTAGTTTTGGACTCTTCCTCATCAGTACGCATCCACCAGAAGGGGGCGAACCAAGGACTGTTCAGTTACAAAGTAAACTCGTAAACCATTAAGCCACCAGAATCCAAATCAATGGCCATCCCATGAATTCCAACTTCTGTCAGTTGACGATATAGCGCGACCAAGGTACTGGTGGGAAGTAGTGATGAGGAGAAGGTACACAGCAAGTCGGGTGTGACGAGAAATACTCACAGTTAACATTGACTAGTAGTCGGCAAGAAGCCTCAGATCTAAGTTTCGTGCTTGTTGGCATTCATCAGTCAGCAAGGTGTATCTGCAACCTTGCAGAAACTCATGTCCCCTTAGAGATTCTAACCCATGTCACCCAGAGCTGCACAATTGACTGAGAAAATTTAGTCTACATTAAACGAAGGACTCTACACGCATGATACCAGCTACTACCTAGAGTCCAATCAAAGTCACAGTTTACTTCACTGATATATAAGTGACCATGGGATACACCTAGAGCTACTTACAAAAGTGGATGGTTTGAGTATACGTCAAAAAACAGTACAAAAGGGCATTAGTAAGGTGTCTCCTCAGTAGAATCCAACGAATATGCACTGAAGACACACTTGATGAGGAGGAAGAAAGAAAGTTGACACAAACTCTGGTTGATAACAATTATCCAGACAAGTTCATCAGGAGATATAAAGTAGTCAGTGGAACACCAAGACCCACTCTCCAACTCGCTCCTAAGAAAGACGTGTACATCAAGCTACCCTATATGGGGCATTACAGAAGCTTGATAACTAGACAAAGACTGAACGCTGCTGTTGAAAAGACTTTTTTTGCAGCCAATATCATAATCATTAAGAATGTGAAGCTAATATATCCAGTTAAGCCCTTCGAACATGCAAAAAATGACGTTACATCCCACTGTATTTATCAATTTGAATGTACGTGTGGACACAAATACATAGGGAGGACTCATCGATCTCTGCAAAAAAGGGATGGCTTCAGAGCATATTCCTAAATGGCTCCAGAAACAAGTAGAATCCCCAGAACCCACTAATCGTGAGAACAGGAGACCTAGCTCCTCTACTGAGAAACATATTACGGAGATAGGGCATAAAATTGATGTGCACACATCTTTTAAACCTATCCATCCATAAAACGTGTGTCGGGGCGTATCCTTAAGTTTGTGGAAGCCCTAGCTGGCAATTAGGAAGTTTACACCACCTTTATGCGTTCAAAAACAATTCGTCATCACATTAAACCTTCCTTGGCAAATTTTGTTTTATTTTGATAGCATAGCAGATGTACTATTACTTCTGTTATTTGGTTTAGTGGTCTTCATTGTTATTTTGACCTTCATTATTTTCTTTTAACTTGACCTTAGTCTATTTTCTCACCTCTTAACTCTTTATTAATTTCATATGTGTATATTCCTATGACAAGTCCGTGTGTGATGGATCAGATTGTTCGAAATTTGTTGCGCAAATACATTACACGATTCGGACAAATTACGTCTTCTTATTGCTTTATCAAAAAACACAGTGTTTACTTGCTAAATTAAATGTCAAACTGTTTGAAACCTCAACTCAATTCGCTATCCATTAACTGATATAAAAATATATTTTTGAATCAAATTCCACGAAATGGCAGCAGTAAAAGAATAAATTTATTGCCATCTTAATTATACACATGTGCCATACCATTCGATGACAGTGTAATTCATTGATTCTGACACTCACTAGCTAGTCATGTGAACCTTTTTATGGTGTAAGCAGATTGGATACAAAGGTTTCGTGATATTGCTGACTTTTCTACATGACACAGAAATTTATATTACACATTGAAATAATACAGTTAGCGTCTCACTGACTTCGAGGATTGATATTTAAAAGACTGGATTTTTTCAATTTGTCCGCGCCTAATAGAAATGTATTTTAGCGGTGTACTTCGAAATCGATTAGGACTTTTCCACATAGCGAAAATCGATAGTCCTAAGGTGATTAGATGTGTTCCGGAAAAGTGAATTAAACAATCGTGACGTCTACATGTGACTTCGTATTAGGATATATATATATATATATATGATTCAGTCACGACGCTTTCCACAACCATTTCAGATATTCATGATTACCAACACAAATATCGGAAAAATTGATTTTTGTATTCACTAGAGCAGGCCTGACAGAGTACCGGTCGGTCGGTTTTCGACAAAGAAGTTCAATTCGCCACACTCCATGTAGCACACAAACCAAGAGAAGAAAGTATGAGAAATGCATATTAGAGACAGTAAACAGAGGTGTGAGACAAAGGTATGGTAATAAAGAAGAACAATATAGTTTCATTGGAAATCATAAGTCACAAGGAGTGGATGCATCTGCGCCACTGAGAACGATTTTGAGCCATGTCACTAATTGTTTCCAACCATTGGTTTTTACCGTCCCGAGGACCCCAACCAGGAAGTCCACACCTTCCTAAGTGGCTTAGACTAACTGTTGTGGATTTCATTGACTGGTGCCATGTTTTCATTTGACCGCCGCTAGCTCTTTTCCAGCCTGACCCTATATCAGCTAACATTGCCCGTCGAAGAAGGCGATGACTAGGTATACGTAACACATGTCCTAACCATCTCAGTCGACGTAATTTCACAGTCTCGTCTGACAGAGTACCTCAGAAACCCATTTAACTCGTTGACTGTTGAAGGGGTTCCTTGCTACATTTTATTCTATGAATAATCCCCCATCCAGACATTGATGAAAAAAAGAAGCAGTTCAGAGGAGAGGCTCTTTTCGATCAATTCAATAAAAAGAGTAGGCAAGGACGACTCGACAGCCAAAGAACTAAATAGGTTTCTGGGGTACTCTAACAAGTTTGTTATAATGGACGCGGAAATCAACTTTTCCAATGAATGTGTCAGTAACGACGAAAATCTGAAATGGTTCTGGAGAGCCCTACGACGGAATGAAATATATGCTAGTCTCCTCATATTCTTTGGAACAAGAAAATCAAAAGCTAACGAAAGGTCAAGAAATGTCAATGCCAAATGTTGAATACACAAGTACCAGTCCCAATTGAAAGGCAAATATTCGTTCGATACACCGTTTCGCAGACGGAAAACGTGTTCGATTTGTTTGCCTTTGGAACAAATGAATATGGAATAGGAGTTAATTTGTTAAGCAAAAAAAAGAAGAATAATTAGAGGGAGAAATTGTTTTCAATAAATTCTTCTTTAGGCTATATCATTATAAATCCACTAATTTTGGAATACACTAGCCGATTAAAGGTACGTGAGAATTATATCAGGAAATGGATTGCGTGGAGTAACTATAAGATGGAATAATATGGTCATTCATATGAATTATGATCAAGATTTGACGGAATAGTTCCAGCATAATTGGGCGCCGAGTGGGTTTCCTGTCGATTGCCTCCAACCATCTAATAAATCAGAGCTACGGCTCATTGGTTTAGGCACTTGACTTTCAACCACAAGGTCACGGGTTCAAACCCCGCATGTCACTTACCCAAGGTTGGATAGGCAGATGGGGATTGCTGGCCCCACACTCAACCTTTCCTCCTCAGTGGGCATACTATCGGCTAAACGAGGTTTAACAATGTGTCGGGCGGCTAATCAAAGCCGGATGATATGCAAGTTAGCGAGCGTCCTACCAATGAACCACCAGCGCGCTATCTGGTATAGTTATGAGCGAAAAATTGTCCTAGAAACATAGCCAGAAAATAATACTGTAACATAGTGTTTTTATCAATATAAAATTACTCCTCTAATATAGAATCATGCTCTACCACAGTTCCCAAATTTTATTCTTACAGTATGGCCTAGTCCTGCTGTTGAAAATGACTTTAAACGGCTATCCGTTATAATCCTTTTTTATAAAAGGAAGAAAAGAATCAACCAGAATAGTTTTCAAGTGTTGGTTTGCAAGGATCTGATTGGTTACAAAGCGGAAATCTTTGAAAACGAGCAGCGAGTAGCGTATAGTCGTTTCGTCCTAGTTGGGGACTCTTTATCATCAGTACTCACCAATTTGTCTACCGAGAGATCGAACCCGGGACTTTCATTTTTACAAGGCGAAAACTCACTGAACATTCAGCTACTGTGTTGAATAAAACAGCCACGAAATGACAGAAAAAAAAACAAAGAAACAATTAGTAATACTCACCTATAAAATCCTTCTGCAGTTAGTACACTATTTGAATAATTATCCATATAATACGAACTATTGCCTTTAACAAATCCTTCATTCTGTGACATAAACTGAAGAGCATTATTCATTTGATTAGTTGCTGGTGGATCATTTGTTGACAGACTACGAGAGGATTGTTGACGTCTTGTATTACTGTCGCTTGACATTCTGTTATTATTATTACCGCCTCCATAGGATGATGACAGCCTATTATGATCTGTTGTAGTATCGTTACGTAAAGGCATGTGCAGCGAGGAATCATTATTCTGTGCTTCTTCACTATATAAATCTGCTACAGCAGCACCAATATGTACAGGTATACGAAAGTTAACAATCAAATTGATAAAATGTATAATCTGAGCATAGAGAGTACTTTCTTCACGGGTTTCTAAAGCCTGTTGTATTTCACGTGGACGTGTATTACCGATACGCATTTCTTCAGCAGCTATTTCTAGCGATGACATATTTGATGTATAAATTTGTTGTTGAACTGTGATCTTTTAAAGGAACAAGAAAAGAAGAAGTAGAAGAAAAAGGAAAATTAAATTAATACGACGAGCACTAACCAAAATGGTGAATTTGACATAGGAATACACAACAGTTACGCATTTATTTACCTCTCCTTGTACAGTTCATCCCTCCTTAACATCCCGTGGATCTTATCTCACTAAACAGTATCGATTTTCAAGACATATAGGGGTTAAACATTTTCTAATTTCGTTAATTTGTTTGTTTGGCCAGTAATCAGCAAGCAACACACACACGCACACGCTATGATATCACGTTATTCACTTACTGAGTGTAAAAAAGAGAATTCATAGGCCATTGGATCGGGTCCCAGTGGCTTATAATGGTATACGAGCTCGCCTTGTAACCAGAAAGTCCTGGGTTCGAACCTTGACGGTGGGTGCGTACTGATGAAGAGTCCCAAACTAGGACGAAACAGCTGTCCAGTACTCCCTTGCAGGTTTTACAATGGTTCTCTAACTAATGTCAGCTCATGATGAAATCCTGTAACCAATCAAATCCCTACAAACCAACACTTGAAAAAGAGAATACTTTAGACTAATCCTACAAAACTATTCGCATTCCGAAGGCATTAATCAGTCATACAGTTGAACTAATCTATCTGTAGAATGGCTGTGTTAAATCGCTTCCACTCCAGTGCACCTAGTATTAGTCAATAGGATTCTTTACAGCTATAGTTTTGACTTACTTTCATTCACTTTGTTTGCTACTTTGACCTCAACAGAATGCATATATATACATACATACAAAAATCCATCAGACCTTGTTAGTTTGTTAGTCTCTGCATAAATATTTTCTTAGTGTGAGAAAATAACTTACTCCAGAAAATCTCTATAAATTTTTTTAACGATGAGCAGTTTGAAAGAATAGAGCATACCATGTGTTATATTCTAGTCTATATTACTCATACTGGATACGTAGAAATGGTGTGAGATATGAGTTTTTCAGGAAGATGAGTTAGAAAAGAAGGAAAAGAGTGAGGTGGGGTGTCAATCTAGAAGCTCTTATCAGTACATGAAGACTCTGAAAGTTGACATAAGTCAAGTAATGAGGTGTAGGCTGTCTTGGTTGGGGTCCCCCGGATGCCGAGAACCAGTGACTCAATAGTGTTAGCGATATGGCTTAAACACTGTTCTCAATGGCACATATGCATTCATCCTTTGTGATCGTACACATCGACTAAGCTCTCGTGTTTTTCTATGTTATAAGATTTTCTCCCATACATTTCACTACGTTTGTGTACCTACGAGGAGGGTGGTGACTTGTAGTGCTGCACTTCTGTGCAAAGTTCTATGTTGAAACTGAGTCAGTTAGTCAGTACTTGGAACAGATTTCTAATGTATTAGGCTGTGAGCCACTGATATTGTGTGAGAGCTGATGCGAATACCTGGTCATCCACGCTAATAAAGCGGTTAAAGAGAGATTCGAAAACTCGCTCCATCCTCCTTTATGGCTGGCTGTAAGACATGGCCATTGAAAGTGGAAGATAGGTGGCTGCTGCTGCTGGATTCAACATAGAACTTGGCACTGAAGTGCAGCAGTTCCAGTTGCCACGTTCCAAATAGCACAAGACAAGAAAATGAGTGAGGGAAATCAGTAGAGTTTTGACAGGTATAAGAGTGAAACAGAATGAGTGTAATGGTAGAAAGGAATATGAAAGATTACAGAGACTGAATACATCTGCGTAAGCCATTGACAACGATTTTGAGCCATGTCACCTATTGTCTGTCTCCAGCCATTGATTCTTAGAGTCCCGAGGGTGGGCCCCAACCGGGAAGTCTGCATCTCCCTACCTGACTCAGTTTAACTGTCAAGGATTTCATGGATTGATTGATGCCATGTTTTTGTTTGGTCACCACTTACTCTTTTCCAACCTGCACCTGTATCAGCTAGTAATGCCCGTCGGGAGAGGCGATGGCTAGGCATGCGCAGCACGTGACCTAGTCATCTCAATCTATGTAACTTTATAGCTTCTTCGATTGATTTTCCGGAAGATAGGTGGAAAGACTAGCTGCCTTTGATCATAGGTATAAAACTTGGGCACTGTGGTAGAGTGTAAGTCCATTATGGATAAGATTTTATTTTGATAAACCACACAGTGATCATAGGTGTCTGTGTTCTATCTCCCATGTTAGGTAGTAGGTGTAATAGAGTGAGCAATATTGAGGTGACGCATCGGTCGAGTGCTATGTAAGGAGATAAAATCAATCGACGAGGTTGTGATGGCTAGGACATGTGTTACGCATGCATCCCTAGCCATCCATCGCCTTCCTCGATGGGCAGTGTTAGCTGTACATAGGACTGATCAGGTTGGAAAAAAGAAAGCCAGTGGTGGTCAAACGAAAACAGGGCTTGATCAGTCAGTCAGAATCATAACAGTAGGGATGTGCAGAATACCTGGTTGGCATCCTCGGAATGGTAAGCACCAATGACGGCTAGAGAAAATTGGAGATATAGCTCAAAATCCTCGTTGTCAATGACTGGCGCATATGCATTCACTCTTTGTGATTTGTCATATCAAATAAAACCGTATTCTTCTTCACTCACACTTCTGTTTATTATCGCTACTTTGAACCTCTCTTTACTCTGCTCTGTTCGCTTGCTTTGTGTTCTACATGGAGTGGAGTGTAGCAACTACAACTGGTGTACTTCTGTGCAAAGTTCTACGTTGAAACCAGTTAGTCAGTCAGTCAGTCAGAGATTTAAAGCAAATTAGCTACATATCCACAGGAAGATGATGCATTGAGTTAATCTGAAAGTTAGAAAGGCTCAAAGCTTGGAAAAACAAATGTCTGCTTGGCTTCTTCTATATCTCACCGTTGAGAATCAATAATGATGATTATGGTCTCATGTATTTGTAAACTCAGTCATGTCCATCATAAAGATTGCTCCTAATCATCAGCTAATGACACACTCCGGATTAAAATGGCTTATCATTAACTCATGTCTGAAAATGATAGTATGGAAATTTTTTTTAATCGACACAGAGTAACAGTTTGTTAACATGCATAATTACAGACTTGAAGAGATAACAGACGGTAATGGTGTGGTAAGAGCTGGCTGCTAGCCAAAGTTGGTAGACAGTAACTGACGTCAATGTTTATGTCCCTAATATTGGTCGTATGAAAAATGAGAACAAAAATTTTGCGTAGGCGTGTACAGTTAGCATATAGATGATCTGACATTCAAGAAACAGCCACAAAGAGATGAAAGACTAACTTTCAGTGAGAAACCACCACCAATCAGAGGACTGTGTTTGTTTGCTTAAATAATCTAAATAGTCTTTAATAATTTGGTGTCGCCGCCTACCGACAAATGGAAAGCCTATGCCTTTGGATCTTCGGGCAGGACTTCGAGGCTTCTGCGCAGTTGAGTGGCGTTCAAGATCTGTCAGCGATGAGGCTGTTACTTGGGACGCTGCTGGGAGGTTGGGAGAAAGCAGAATATGAAAATGTGAGGCGAAATACCGACGAATATGTGACAGGGTCAGGCAAACAGTTTCCAAAGTGGGAAGGACCACATATGGTCACTTTGAGATGTGGTTACGCAGACACAATCGCAATGATAAACAAAGAGAAACAAGCGAACATCAGCGAGCGGCGAGATTCCAGACAGCAAGACAAACGAACAAAGCCCCTAGAACCAAGAAGACCGAACCAACTTCAGTCGAAAGTCTTTGACGGCGCGACGAGTGTGTTGAGAGCTGGCTGCTAGCCGAATCGGTAGACAGTAATTTACGTCAATGTTTACGTCCCCAAGATTGGTCGTGAGAAAAATAAGAACAAAGACTGATTCAACAACCAACCACAGCAGACTTTGCGTAGGCGGATACAATGTGCAGATAGATAATCTGAACTTCAATAGACGGCCACAAAGAGATGAAAGATTAACGTTCAACGAGAAACCACCAATCAGAAGACTGTTTGTTTGCTTAAAATAATCTGTAATGATGTACATGAAAATCTATAAATATGTGTTGATTTCCTAAATAAACGATCTGTTGCCTGGCCCTTGTCTACTGTTCTTATAATGGAAGCGCTTAAGAGAAGTATTGACAAAAAGCGAATGAAAAACATCAGTTAGAACAGTTATTATCAAGTGTTTATTAGCACGGATTTGATTGTTCACAGGATTGAACAGGAGATGACATCAGTTAGAGAACCACTGGAATACCGCACAACTGTTTCGTCCTGATTTAAGACTCTTCAACCATATACACACATAAAACCCCAGAGGGGGTCGAACCCAGGACCTCCCTGTTACAAGATGAACTCGTAAACCATCCATCCACTGGGACTGAATCCTATGGTTCATGAATTCCAATGTTTGCAAATTCGCGATAGTTAGTGCAACTGTCAACCTACAGTCACTCTCGAGTAAATATTCTCTTGTCAGACTTGGTGGATGCCGCTGGTTACCACTTCAGTTCATGGATCACTGCATCGAGTCTAAGCGATCGTCGTGTAACCGGTAGGTAGGTCCCGGGTTCACACCCTGGTGGGATCAAGTGTGTGCACTCACCGTTGAAGAGTTCCAAACTAGGACGAAACAGCCGTCCAGTACACCGTGCTGCTTTTTCCAATAGTTCTTTAACTGATGTCAGCTCATGATGATCAATCTTGAAACAATAGTCGTTGATGACAACACCTGTGCAATCGATTACACAGTATAAAATAATCACAACCGTAAGGGCAGATATCGATCATCAAAGTAAATATGATACACTATACTATACAATGGTGTGACATTTATTGGAAGTAGGTCAACCAATTATTTGATCAAACATGAAGAGTGTGATTTTTTTATTAATTCCACCTTCTATGAACAAACAGCCAAACGTACGTGTTCTGATAGGGTTTTTATTTCACCCAGATTGTTGAAGCCTAACGGTAAATATCACTATCGCAAATAACAACTGAGAGTGATAACTGCTACTTCAACATGGTGTTCAGGATAGGATATGGTAAATAACCTGAATATCTACACTGGTTGGAACCAATATTCCTACAGGAAGTACCATTCCAGACAGATCGCTTGGATAGAGTTTAAACTAAGAGTATTTGCAATCACAGTGAAATTCGCTCACACTACATATGTAGTGGGATCTAAGTGAGAAGTCGTACACCACTAGGAAACGTGCTTTTCTGAAACCACACACAGACCTGGTATGTTGCTTCTCCACAATCGGATGATGGGAGAGGTTAGCAAAGGTCAACTGGAGATATCGTACATACCGACTCATCTAGAGGCAGTAGCACCTCATAACACTGACGCGATTTTTGATAACTACTTCGAACAAGTAGCGTGAGACCGGCCTCACTCACACTAATCCTGTTTCAACTGTAGGTATTCGAAGGCAGCAGAAAACTAGGGACTGTTGGTACATTTCCATAAACAGAAAACGATTTTTTAATTAGTATCCGCCTTCACCAGTCCGTCACCACAATTGACTGTAGGAACTACTGATGTGGTATCAACAAGTCTGAAGAAATAAAAGATCTTGGGCAGGATAACTGTACAATAGGTGTCCATACAAAAGGCTATCTAGTCTAAATTGAATTCAGTCGAAGAGTTCTGCAATATAGTCACACGGATACTGTTCATCTTAGATGGTTGGAGGGAATCGGCCACAGGAAGTCATACCCAACCTAGGTTTCGTGCTTGTTGGCACTCAAGAGGAACTCATGTCCCTTCTGAGATTCGAATCCGTGTGTCACATGCAGTTACAGAAGTCGCCACCATTGAGCTATTTGGGCTCGCTATTGACCTCGTGTAAGACTGTAATGGATGCTTTAATTGGACACTAGTTACTAACTAGTGTCCAATCAAAATGGTCGTCGATGGGTATGATTTGTGAACAATTATCTCCAAAGTACTTCTAAATGTGAAATGGCTGAGAAAGCCGATTGAATTTCAATGGAACTGAACTAACCACTTGGAATTTTGTACAAAAATGTCAAACTTCATACAATTAGAGAGGAAAGAAATGCGGTTAAATTACCTCTAGACATAAATCTAATCGGTCACTCTGAACTGGATCGACTTGGATATGATGATTTATTATATCTTGCACATTCCATAAGTTGTAGCACAGTGTGATAATGTTATCTACTATCACACAAGATAATAAGACTCAGCTGACTACTGTGTAAGATAAATAAGTCGCTGGTCAACTACAGACACGCATGTGATTATTAGTCAACAGGAATCTAGACATATTTATTATTCTACCATATTTCAGTGGCCTGGTAATATAAAAGCCCATACTAATAGGAGCGACTTTGAAAAGGCCTTCACCAGACAGCGTTGACTGAGAAGTAATTTGGAAACTGCTTCAACACTACGGAGTGCAGTCCCCAAGTCTTTATCAACATCATTCAACAGCTAGCTATATAACACTGCAAAGTGTCAGGCGACCTACAACGGCAAACTCAGAGAGGCGTTCAAAGTGAATGCAGAAATAAGACAAAGGCTTGCTGCCCATTATCACTGATGATACTCTTAACTGTGGTGGACTGGATTATGAGTTAAACTGTGAATGGGGGGAGATGTGTTGTTGAAGCCCTATGTTCCGCTCGGAACCCAAGGGAATAATAATAATAGTGACAGATGAAAACATTTAATTTATGATAATTAGCTAGGCATACATATGTGAGGTACTTAAGATCCCCGTAGTCACATTTAGACTGATAATCCTACTAGCTGTATATCACTTGTTGTTCTGATTATAATAAGTTAGTTATTTCACGATGGCTTAGAGAATTTCGCTAGAGTTGGAATGATTGACTCTATTGACTTAAATAATCTATGAAAAAGCTCAACCACTGCGATAAATTCACATGTATGTAAGCCCACAACAATAGGGATGTAGTTAAGTAAGAAAAGAGTGGTCAATCAGCGAATTATCCTCTACCAAATCAACAACAAGGGGGAGAGGAAAAATACATATATAAAGCAAATTAAGTTGCCGTGTGAATGCATTGATACATGCTTATGAGCAGCAATAAATTGTGCTCAGAACCTCATCCAGTACTATCCATACTATGCCACTGTGTGTTACATGTCAAATGAAGTTATTTAATATAGAAGGAGCATAAAAATTCTTCGCTCTAATCTCTGCTTTTGAATGAGTCGTCGGTCACTTTATTCAAGAAATCTAAACTCAGAATAGGACGATATACTGCAGCGATTGACATTTAGTCCTTATCTCAGGCAGACTTCATCATGAATTGAAGTTGGTTAGAAAAATGACTGGAAATCAAGGCATAATGCACAGGGTTTTCTTTTTGGTGCTCTATTTTGAAACTCCTCACTAGTGTACACACTAATGACCCCACTGGAGTGAGCGATTTTAGATCCAACCACATAAAAAGACAATGAATACACGTTTTTGTGAACTCCTCGCAGAAGGAGACGAAGAAGAAGAAAGAGAAGAAGTAAACATTCACGTATTAGGATATGTTTGTTAACCAATGCAAAGCCTAATTCTTCATAGACATAAGAATAACATCAGATAACAGGAAGTAGACTTACATTAGATGATTTCTGATTACCATTACGTCCAACAATGACGATGGATATACCATCCTTCTCAGGAGACGATGGACTTTTACACTGTTTTCTAATACCATTGCTTGTTGTTGTTGATGATGCATGACCATTAGGCAGATTTCCGACATGATTTTGGTTGGATTGCTGTTGTTGCTGTTTATGAGATTTCAGTTCTTCTTCAGAAAAATCAATATATAACAAACGTATCTGATTGTTAACTTGTTCGTTGAAAACACTCTCCCAAAATGGCATATGACGCCAGATATCATGATGTTGAATTTGATGACTCATATTAGCATAATAACGAACATTCTCTAGTTCCTGTATAGATACACACAAAAAAACAGAGAAAAACCGGTGAAAAGAGTGATAAAAGTTTTAATCGACAATAACGTACAAGAATATTTATTGGACTATAAAATATATAGAGATAGGGTGATCATTATCGACCAGATGTTCAATGATCGCGCTTCTTATTGCTCCACTTCCACCTTTTCGTAACCATGCAGGATAGTGTTCTTGCACCCTCTTGGACAAAACTCGAGTCGAACGACCGATATACCTAGGTCCACACGATCAGGTGGACCGATGGAACTCTGAAGAGATCGATTTATCGTAAGCTATCATAGAATGGTCAACTGACAAATTTCTACAGCTGGGTAGCCATTGGTCGAAAACGAAACCTGATCTGGTCGCTTACCACTCGTATTCGGCGCATATGTAGCCCTGATACTGTAGGAGATGAGTTATACATCTTGAGAAAAATCTTAGTAGAAAATGCATTTCCACCACGTTTTATAGATAAGAATATACATTCAAGTCCTAAAAAAGTGACTTATCAACCGTACCCAAGAAAATACTTTACATGAGCTTGGAATTCAAAGGAGACTCAGCTTCCGATATCATGAAACGAAGGATATCACAGTCCCTTAAAAGAACATTCTCTGCTGCATCTCTGAGAATAGCCTTTACTAGTCGACCATTGCTGTTCAATAACCTGAAGGACAAGATCCCGCTGTTGACCAACTCTATGTGTGTTTATCAATTCACCTGCTCATGTGGAGCTAGGTATATCGGTCGTTCGACTCGAGTTTTGTCCAAGAGGGTGCAAAAATACTATCCTGCATGGTTATAAAATATATCACTAACATCTTCTCTTCAATAAACACTAGTAGCAGTTGTAGCATGTGCTACTGACAAGATTTATCAGTAGTATATAAAGGGACATTCGTCGGCTTAAAAAATATCAACTAGAGGAAAGATAGATTTGATTTCAAAGACAGAGAGTGAACCAGTATGGCGGCAAAACATGGGAAACACGAAGAGAAGTCAAAGAAACACAATAAGAAGGAAGGGCAGAAGTGGTACAACAGGAAAGATCTGTACAAATGGTGATTTGAAGATAAGATGTACATAATTTCCTTATATTGAGATATCAAATTCCAAATAAACACTCCGTTACCAAGTCTCTTATCTTCTAACGTTACTCAGTGACTGAATATATTGGTGAAATCAATGAAACACCTAAAGGAGAAACATTTCACTGAATCCTGTCTATATCACTCAAATACCAATTATTATTATTATTATAAAGCGTTACTTTCAGAAACCGAGGAAATAGCACCGTGTTCACCACTGATTATAATCCTCGAATATATTTGATGATGTCTCATGTTCATTGACATGCATTATCTCTCAGACTCTATCTAGAGAGTTGCGATGCATCGACAGATGCTAACACAGATATCCTTCATCCCACGGTGCCAAACTGACTACTCCCACGTATTTCCCACCCTATCCTAACGTTAGTAAACAGTAAACGATATGGTAACCACTAGTGAGAACATGTCGTAGCCACCGAAGCTGGTGTTTCAAGAAGACAATATCTAATGAAGGAATGACGATCATACACGCGGAGCCAACACACATCTTCATTTCGCAGAGGCCAAGTTTCACAGGTTTAGAGAAAAACTGTGCACACTGAAGGATTGTTAACCCAACCTAAGACAGCCAGGTTAACGTTAAGACAGCTGTAGAGCTAGCCCACATTGGTTATTACGCTGTAGCTTTCACTATACAGTTAGATATCTTATTCGTTACACTTGCACTACTCACACAACTGTCTAGGTACGCAAACTTATCTAGAACTTCAAGTAGTGAATGCATGTTCAGGCTATGGCTCATTTTGCAACAATACCTTGCAATGGGATGAGGCAAAGACCAATTCGTACTTACAGACACTGGCTGCCTACTGATGAAATGTTATTTGAACAGCCTGCATGTTATCGTACAGTAAAATAGTATTCTCAGCAAACTCGAGGTTAAACAATCTTTTTCTAGTCACTAGATCTACACTATCACCACACGCATCCATCAGGATTGTCTGCAGAATGTAATCGACGGGCAAACTTAAAGATTTGATTTACCTGCATCCATTTAAGCATCAATTTAGAGGTGCATTACTCACCGACCCTGGACGTGGTCCAGGCTTCAATAAACACTACAGCTACTGAAACTTCAAATCTCAAAGCTTGAAGCCCAATTTCCCAGTGGAAACGTAAGAGAATAAAATGAAAACGAATAAAATCCGTCTACACTTTAACATGAAGTTGAGACTAAGTAGTTCTTTCAAATACACAGTCACGAAGTTCGAATACCGTTTCACCAACAGCAGTTCGCGCAATCAACTGGTAACATTAACTTTCATACAATCAGTGTACTTTATTGTAAGTCATACTGTAGACATGCTTGCTTCCAACTTCTCATGAACTGATACTACAATCATAGTTCACCTTTCAGTCAACTAGGTTGCAAAGTTACGATTAGCATCGTAACAGCACTTGAAGATTTATGAAGTAAAATTTGTGCTGATTTACCTTTCACCAGCAGACGTGAGTGAGAGAAAGGCAGGGGTATCACTTCATCGGTTCCATGCACACATGAATTTCCCATTTATTATTACATTATCATTCCCTTGGGTTCCCAGCGGAACATAGGACATTAACAGCACATCTCCACTTCACTCCGTTCTCATCAGTCTCGTTTAGCTGGCTCCATGATCGCCCATAGGTTTTCATCTCTCTCTCAAATCATCTTTTCTATGTCACCTTCGGACGCCTAACTAGTCGCCTTCCATTCGGATTCACTCGAGGGTCTGGAGCGGGATATCAGTCAACGGTCTCTTCAGCTAACGTTCATATTAGATTAAAAACCTGTCTCCTACATTGAGTACTATATAAATGTATCAATATTAGGAGATACTCCTAACTGACTCAGTACTAAAAAAACCTAAAATACCTGGTGTAACGGCATGTATTATTATTATTGTTCCCTTGGGTTCCTAGTGGAACATAGGGCTTCAACTGCACGTCTCCACTTGGTTCTGTCTTCTGCTGTACTTTTCACCTGCATTCATGTTAATCTATACTGTTTCAATACCTCTTCACACGATCTCCTCCATGTCACCCTCGGACGCGCGATGTCACCAAACGGCCTTCTCAGCGAGTGTCCAATCCATCTCCACTTTCTCCTGCATTTTGTTGAGCGACTGGTTCTTGTTTTGTTTGTTCCCACATTTGCTTGTTGGTGATTCTTTCCGGCCATCTGATCTTCAGTAGTTTAGAGCGAAGACAGCTGTTGATAAAGGTCTGCAACATGTTGGAAATATTCAAGTTTCTGATCCGTGTAGAAGAACTGAACTGACGTTTGTATTGAAAATTCGAATTTTGTTGTTGATGCAGGCTGAGTGACGAAGATTTCCAGATTGGTTCCAGGTTGATGAATGTGTTTCTCACCTTCCGGATTTTCAATTTGACATCCTCGTCCGTTCCTCCTGTAGTTGAGACAATGCTCCCTAGATAAGTGAATGAAGTAACCACTTTCGAATCCCTCCCGTTGATGGTGATTGGTGAGAGAAATGGTAACGAAGCTTTACTAAGGAAAAACACGTCATATTAGCCGAATTCCTAGTCACATTAAAGTCCAGCTAGGTCAGAGGAAAATAGACTGTTCTGATTGGTTACCGATTGACCCAAGGTTACGCAAGTTGTCCAATGAAGTTATTTCATATCCACAATGCAAACTTAATCCAGATTAGAAGAATAAACACCTCGATCTCTGTAGTAGATTCCGGTTTTGGCCGCCTCTTCTCACAATCAGCATCACGTCATGCTGGCAAAAAGTCTATTAGTCACTCCATCATAAAGCATAAATCATCAACAATCACATATACATATGTAATATAATATAAATATACACTTACAGTACACAGTCTGGTGCTTAAATCCATAATTATCGGAGTAATTCCACTATCTCTGGATTGTGTTTCTTGTCTTAATGCTTCGTCTAATAAATCAACAATTAGCTCAAATTGTTCCCAGGTTAATACAGCTCGTTTATCATAAACATTTCTATCGATTACCATATTCCCAACAATAAAATCATTGATTGCTTCACTTGGTGACATAGATGTTCCTCCTGCTGATGAAGTCTCTGGGACTAGATAACGACGTAATTCATCGACAAATAGACGTCGCATTGGTCGAGATTTTAAATCTTGACGAATTGTATTCCGTCGCTAAGAAGAGAAAGTTAGTAGAGAAAGGAGGTTGAGGGGGTGGGTGGGACAAATACTTATAATCATAAAATACTGAAATAAAGCTGAAAAATAAACTGAAAAGTATGAAGATATGATAAGCCTTTAAAGGTACTTGAGCCAAGAATGCTGTAATCCTATTTAAAAAAAGGATAATTTCTCACAATTTCTGCTTGGTAAATTTCGTTTCATTTGACAGATTAACATTTTTATAATCTTTCGATATCTTTACTTTTCGTTATATAAAATAATAAGATTATCGTGTATATAAATAATGTTATTTTGACCACAAAACATCATTAGCCGTTTTTTATTGTCGATTTCAAATAGGCTTATTTATCTTTGTACTTATTTTCAAGAAAAATATTCTTACAGATTTTTGTTTCTGTAGGCTGCACTTCAATTTCTTCATATATTGTAAAAAAACTAAAATATTATACTCAACAATCGTATGTAATTAGATGGTTGGAGGCATTCGGCCATAGGAAGCCCTGTCTAGACCTGGGTTTCATGCTAGTTGGCACTCACCAGTTAGCTAGGCGTATGTATCTACAACTTCGGAGGAACCCATGTCCCTCATCCTGAGATTCGAACCCACGTCACCCAGTGCTACACTCAGAGACGTTACGACCATCGAGCGATTCGGGCTAGCGATTGACCCCCTGTAAGACAGTATTGCATTTTTTTGATTGGACACTAGTCAGTGACTAGTGTAATGTGTCTAGTCCTTTCTTCGGTGCAGACTGAATTCTATCAGTCACGTTTGCAATGTGACCACCATTCTAGATGGCTCTCCATAAGGGATATGAGTTTCTTCAAGGTTGCAGATACGCCTTGCTGACTGATTGGTGAGTGCCAACTAGCACGAAACCTAGGTCCAAGGCTTTCTGCAGCCGACTCCCTCCAACCATCTAATATGAACAATTCAAAGTGCACCATGATGGCGAGTCATCTAGAATGGTGGTCACATTGCAAACGTGACTAACAGAATTCAATCTGCACCAAACAGAGGACTAGACACTTTACACTAATTGCTAACTAGTGTCCAATCAAAATCATGTGTAATTTAAATAAAGCAAAAACAACAAATGTTTGTGAAAAGTAATATGAAGCCATCACTACTTATTTCGTCGTCCGATTCTCTTCGGCTGCTTAAATCCTAAAAGTTACCTGTGTAAATGTACATAGAATTTTGTCATACTTGCAAGGCTGAGAACATGATTTGTGTTAACAGAGCCACACATAATAATAAACAGTATTCAGAAGTTCCACTTACATAACTTATGAATGAGGAGGTCAAAGTTCAAACAAAGTACAAACATGCAAAATTAATGGTCGAACGTAGTCAAGACAACAGGAAAGAAGTTGATGATGAGTGATAGTGTAGCGAGTTTAACTCAAGTCATAGAAGTGAAAAATAACTGGATTCCACCAAAGAAAAAAATGGAGGAACAGGGGTAAAAGCAGACTGTGTAATCAATCGAGACGAAGAGATCGGACGTTGGGTTACCAAGGTAAGGAAAGACTAATAAGTGAATCTTTTTAAACACATAATTCAGGTGTTTTAGACGTTTGATAGCGATTGATTCGGCAAATTTGACGAGAGTTCAGTTACACTGTCTATCAATAATCTTGAAGGATTTCAAAGTGTCCGCCTAATGACCCGTATCAACAAGATGTTTGGCAGTGGCACTGTTCAAAGCATTTGTTCCCTTGAGAAGTAAATGTTTTGGTACAAGTTCAGAGAATCTCAGATATTCCCTTCTTTATGTTCTCTCAGTGTAACTGCTCTCGCAGATATACGTAAATTTGTATACACAATTAGAGTTAACATGGGAAGGGTATCTATCAACCTTTGATTGCACCTAAAAGCTTGTTGTTCGATAAACGGGAACCAGTTTGGCTGAAGGATAGGTTCCGGCTGGAAAAGTTTTCAATCTTCTGTTGATTATTTTTGCAATACTATCGCCTCTAAAATCGAGTTGGATGAACATTGATTTCTGATTTACTGTAGTTTGTTTCACCCCTAGATTTTCAAATCTTCCGTACTTTTTGATGAATGTCGGAGGATAACCATTATCTTTCAAGACTTTCTCAATGTTTACGAGTTCTTCCAGTAGTTCGGTAGAGCATATTCTCCTGACTTCGTAAAATAGAGTTTTGACCAATGTTCGTTTATAGCTAATTGGACAAAAACTATCGAAATTTGAGTATAGTCCATTGCAAGTGGATTTTTGGTGAATGGATCTTTGTAGACCTCCATCTTCCAATAATATGTAACTCTATCCAGCTGGTGACCCAGCTACACCTATTGTGTGTATGTGTGTGTGTGTGGGGGAGGGTCTAGCCATACTATCTGTCTACCGACCAGACCTCATAAGTTAGTATAAATTTATTCTCACACACACAAAACACAAACTTGGTACATAATGAGCACTAGGAGATACGGCACATAAAACCTCATAGTCTACTCGAAGACTCAGCCTCCCTGACAGAAGCAGGTGGTTTTCTGAACATGCCACCCCAAGCTTATCACTTGAAGTCTGATCTACAAGGCAGTGGAGCATCATCACGAGCTACGTTCTTATGGATGACGTTGACCAAAACAGAACAGGTTCAATCCTTTCGGATTCTCGAGTCTAGAGGTTTAGAGTCAGGGTTTCCCAGTTCCCCTAAGCTTCCTTGTCGACCGGTAAGTGCCAGACGTTTGCACTCACCCTCCCAATTTCGCGAGAAACACCTCTATCGCGTGAAGGCACATCCACTTAAGGGCATTTCAAGAGGAAAACTAAAGTCTACATATACCCTAGGAGCGGTGTTCAAACCCGTGTGATTCAGTGGTTGATTATTGAGCGCCTACCACTTAATAAGCCTAAGCGTTTTATGTATTATAAGAAGATAATACATATATCGGTGACAGGTGACAGTACATCAACTCACACGCATACCTAAAACGTCTTTAGAAAATGAAATGAAATCCTGTAACCAATCAAATCCCTACAAGCCAACACTTGAATATCGATGAGATGCTCACTAGCAATTTATCCTATTCAGGTAGGTAGTTACCTGGGTTCTAGTGAGAAGTCGTGACCAGTAGGGTGGAGCAGGTCGGCTGTGAGGACAAGTGATCGCCGAAGACATTGGCTAGTGGTCGCGCTATGTTGTGAATTGGCAGAAGTTAGAATTCATGGGTTAGTCATTGGATCGGCTCCCAGTGGCTTAATGGTCTACGAGTTGGCTTTCATTGTAACCAGAAGGTCCTGGGTTCGAATCCCGGTGGGTGCGTACTACTGAAGAATCCCAAACTAGAGCGAAACAGCTGTCCAGTACTCCCAGGTTTTCCAATGGTTCTCTAACAAGTGTCAGCTCATGATGAAAATCCTGTAACCAATCAAATCCCTAAAAACCAACACTTGAATATTTATTATTTCTTTTGAATTATAAAACAACTTGAATACGTAATTACCAAGTGAGCTATAAATATAAACTACAAAGACAGTTAACCTTAGCATTTTTTTTTTGGCTTTAAGATGAGCACACATAATATGACTTATTGAATCAGTGTAAAGTTGTGTGATTGTGTGAACAGGTGATACTTGATTAATAATAATAATAATAATAATAATAATAATAATAATAATAATAATAATAATAATAATAATAATGCAATGTCAATAGAAAAAAGTAAATAGTCAGGTGAACGCATATTGAAATGCATATTTGCATTAGATGGTGATAGAATCACGTGATCCTATCTCAAAAGTGAATACATGTGTTGCTGTAATAGTTATTTATTGATTATATGAATACTGATGAAGCAATACTCTCACTGCACTGAGTTTTCATGCTTCCACCTGCTTCGATAAAAAAAATTCCTAAAGAATGAAAGAATTTATCACAGTTATTTCGTGGTATAAATGATGAGTAATACTGATATAAAGATAAAACTTGGGAAGCTTGTAACGAAACAAGAAATGAAGCAAAAAAGTTGTGTGAGTGACTTGATATGATTATGAGCAGCAATAATTTGTGCTCGAAATGTCATCAGTAAATATTAGTGTACAATACTGTGTGATTTACCAAAATAAAATCTTATCTATAATAGAGTTACACTCTACCATAGTGCTCAAGTTTTATACTTATAACTTCTACAAAAAGCATGAATACATCCGTCTTTGATTTAGCTTGGAGCTGAGGTTTGTTGATCTAGGAGAGCAACTATACAACCAGTGGGTTAAGGCTTCAAAACCCACTCCACACAGCGAAGATTGGGTATCCCCTCGCCCCGGTAGTATAACCAGCCATCAAACACACAATAGGTGTGGTTCATTGCCAAATGATTGGAATCTCAAGAGTTTAGAGAGTAACACTGGCTGACTGATTGGACTAAGTTTACTCCCTTTTCGGTGTCCGTGTAATAAATATATATTGTTGTAAAGTTTTATGATTTATAGCAAACGCAAGTAAAAAATATATATCAAGTGTTGATCCGTGGGATTGGATCGGACTGATTTCAAGTTAGACAACGAAATGACATCACTCAGAGTGATGGACAGCTTGGGACTCTTTAGACTTATGTACCCATATCCTCAACCGAGGATCGAAGTCAGAGCTTTCAGATTACAGGGGGGGGAGTTGACCATCTATTTATTGGGACACAATTCCAATGGTGACTGAATGGTTAATAGCCTTGCCTGGTAAAATGAAAGTCATGGATTCAGTCATCAGTGGGGTCGTGGGTGTATTATTAATTACTAGTACTATTGTTTCCTTTAGTTCGTAGAGGAACATAGGGCCTTAGACGCATATCTCCATTGGGTTCGGCTCTCCGCCAACGTTTCCACCTGGCTCCACGTCTGCCCACACGCTTTCATCTCCTCTTCACATGACCTCCTCCAAGTCATCCTTGGAGGGTGTATGGTGCTGAACAATTCCAAACTAAGATGAAACAGCTGTCTAATACCCCCTGGTTTTTAGTGCTT